GCTGTGGGCTAAACATGCTCTAGGAGATGGGAGCAAAGTGAAAGATGCCAGGACATAAAGAAAATAACATCTGAAAGTTTTAACAGGCAGAACCAGCTTTTAAAAGTGTTTACCTCCCTGCTCAGATCTCTGGACTTAAAAACAATTTTGTCTTATATATTTTGCTTTGCTTTGTTTTAACTCCACTTATGTTGATTAAGTACTTCTTAAATGACTTGAACTGGGCAATCAGCAGAAGCGAAAAGCACATAAAGTTCTTGTCAGGGACATCCTATGCTGGTGTGAGGAGAAGCTAAAGGAATGATTTTTCTTTTCAGGTGGTGATAAGTGATGAATTAAAACGCAAGGAGAAAGGGCAATGGGAAGGTTTTAATATTTTAGATAGGGTGGTCAGGGGAAGCATTTTTGAAAAGTGATATTTGCATAAATATCTGAAGGCAGAGAGAAGTGTGGCAGCTATAGGGGACAATGCCCAGTTCAGATCCAGGGGAGAGTGATCCAGGTGTGTCTGCTGTAGGCTCAGCATATGGAAGTACCTACAGGCTGAGGTACTTCCCATATCACTGGCGTGCAAGAAAAGATGCCCAGTTAGTTTATTGTATCTTTCTGCTTTTTCAATTCCTCTCTCAAAAATGTGCAGATGTTGTCTTCTAGCCCACTGGAAACAGCTGCAATTGGTTTCAGTAGATTAACCAGTTTGGAAATAAGAATCCTACAAAAATAGGAAGGCTTGTGTCTACTGGGATGGGAGCAAGTACAAATGGATGGGGTGACTGAAAGACATCTGAGAATCTACAAGTAGCTCTGGGACATCGTGAGGCTTTGGAGTACTCTCCTGGCCTAGAAACTCCCAAGAAGGTTGTCAATAAAGTTACACGTGATTCCATGTCGTTGGTGTCTAATTTGCTTCTAGAGAGGAACCATGTCTTCACTTACTGGCTTCTCTTGCTGCATAGAACGTAGTACTAAGAAAATCATAAGCACATGGTCTTTGTTTATGGAATGGATGTGTTGAAACTGTGTCTGTAGACGTGGAATCTGGTGAAACCAGGAGAATCTTGGGAGATGTAGGTCCTGGAGTTTGCTTATGAAAGTGTGAGTTTGCCTCAAGTTTTGCATATTCAATATGCAAAACACTTTCTAATTTATATTGAAATGGATGTAGCAGTTATAAACTAACCACTTGTTCTGAAGTAGTCAGTAAGAGATGCTGTCATGAAGGGATTTGATGCCAGAGCTGTCAAAGGACTCATGTCTTATTAATAATGATTTTATGATGACTACATCCATAAAACATCTGTACACTGTCAAAATTGAGAAACACTTTAGAGAACATGGTTTGTTCCTGTTTGTGTGGCCTGTGAGCTCTCACTGCTTAGCGGGGCTATTCCAGGTGCCATTCTTTGGTGATAGATATCTATATTTTACATTTACCTATTTTATTTGGAAGATCTCACATGACAGAGATTCCACAGTAACTTTGTGAAATATCTAAAAAACACTAGTTCTTTGTTTTCTCCAATTCTTTCTGCTATTGTACCAACATCACCAGCAGCAGTTAGGTTTTTTTGTTGTTTGAAATGACATTTTAGTTATTTGCTCCCCCGATGGCTTACTGAATAGCCTATGTCATAGGAAAGTTAATGGATTGCTGGTTTTGTTTCAAAGGAGAACTAATGGTTGAAATTCTGTTTATATGAAAAGTAGTCTGTAGATATAGAACAGATATTACCATTGCAATGTTCTGCAAATTGGATTCTACAATTGGATATTGCACTTGTCTGCTGTTGTCTGAAATCTTTTAATTGTTTTGTGACCTCAGGCATCTTACTTAACTTCTCTGAACTTCATTTATATTGTGTAGAAAATGGAAAATAATAGCAACCCAATTAGAGCAGAGGTTGACCTTCAAATTGCCTGAGGATGAATGAACATGTATCTCCATCTTGTGCTAGGCACAAGTTAAAGTTCAATAAGCAAGAGCTGAAATCATTAACTAAGAAAAATATAGACACTTTAAGATACAGGATATTAATTTTTTTAAACATGCTGCTTAACTTTGTATAAATTTAAAGAGCTCCAAGGTAGACAAAGGTTTTCTGAAATAGAAATTGAGGTCTATGTGTTTGGGCCAGTATAAATTAAGTGGTTTACACACTTTTCCTCTCAATACTCCACAATCTGATATCTTAGCTGTGTTTTTACTCTTTCATTAGTATTATCACTAAGTACATACATATTTTTTAGAAATAATCTTTATAAGAAGGGATGATGTCTACATCTCTGATTAAATGGTTTCTGAGTAATCTAAAGATTTTGGTCAACTATTCGATTCCATAGCATCAACACTTATATTGGATGATGACTGGCATATCGATCTGTCATAGCAATTTATTGTGTTCATTGTATGAGTACTGTCTGTTATGTACACTGAGATGTACAGAAGTTTTAAATAATCTCTCAAAGCACAAGTTCACACATTTCTTAAGTGATATGTGTACTCAAATTTGCCTGACAATGCTGTCACTTTCTTAAATACTATGTTGTATGGTTTATACTAGTTAAAATTTTAAAACACTTAAAAATTCTCAAATAATACATTCAATTTTATTTCAAAATATTGATAGTATTAAGTAATTAAATAATAGTGTTTCACACCAAAAAGCAATATTTCATATAATATCAGAGGATATGATCATACAATTGGATATTAAATAAATCAAATAATGTCAATGTTTTCTATAATGCTATCTTTTATTATTTTAAACAACTACAATTTGACAGTTACAAGTCACATCTAAGAAAACTAAGTAATTCAGCTTAATGTTGTCATTTAATAAAACTTCTGATAAGTTTGATCACATTAGCATATACACAACTTCTGTATTTATTTGGAAAGAGGCCATGAGTTGGTGCATGTATGTTTTGGCAATACATTTAGTGTTACTTTTAGAGATTTTTCTCCCATCGTTTAGTTCACTAGTATTAGTACCTGACCTCATCACAAATTTCCCTTCATGGTTTGGTCTTGTTCACTGTTAGTGCCATTGCTGTGCATGCATCACATTCAGGGTCTAAATCTTACTCCTGGTAAATTTCTCTCGTCCTTGTCCTTGGGCAATGATTTTTTTTTTTGTACCTAGACTTAATGGTTTCTGTTTCCTCACTGTCTGTTGTGTCGGGGCATCTGCAATATTTTGATACAGGTATAATATAAAATGGTCTTTCACCTTTTCCAATTATAGATAAAACCATGGATCTTGTTCTGAAATCTAGAGCCGTCGTATCAGATTGGTGTTAATCCTAAAGGATAAGGTAGACCAGAAATCCTGGAAACTGAAGTTGCCTGTGAGGGAAGGTTGGGAGGAAAGTAACCCATGGTCCGTTCTGAATACTGGTGTAGGAAGGTGGTCCCAGGAAGGGAAGAAGTCTCAGTCAGAGTGTTCCCTAGTGTGGAAGAGCAAATCAGTGTGAGTATGCCAGGAACCACCTTGTTCTGTTAAACAACACGTTTTTTGGGATGTATTAATTCAGCTTTCTCATCACTGGGGCAAACTACCAGACCCTTAAAGGAGAAGCATAATTTGGCTCATAGTTTTAGTAGGTTTAGTCTATGGCTAACCAGCTCCAATGCAGAAATGACATGGCATTAGGACCTGGTGAAAGAAAGCTGCTCACAACATGTCAGTCAGGAATCAGAGAGAGAAAGGAGGAGTTGAGAACAAGAAAACACCCTTCCAGGTCATGCCCCCAGTGACCTACCTCTTCTGACCAGGCCCTTCCTCCTACTACTACATGAACTATTGAGCTCACCAATAGATGAACCCACTGCTGAGTATAGTCCTCCATGATTCAATCACCTTCCAAATATAGGAGACGTGAAGGTGATGTCTTAGATCTAAACCATTACAAGGGCTGGGGATATAGCTCAGTGGCACAGCACCTGCCTGGCAAGCTCAAGGTCCTGAGTTTGATTCCCGATGCCAAAAAAATCTAGATCTAAACTATTACAGTAGATCTTTTGTTCCACACCAGTCCCCAGGCCACTGGGCACAAGAAACGTTGCTCCTGCAGAAAGTTTCAGTTTAACATGAGTTTTTGGTGCAGAAGAGGGTGGAGATATGATTTCCTTGCCTTCCACCCAACTGTGCTGCTAAAGACCTTCCCATCTGTTTTCTATTGCTGGAAATTCCTTTAACATATGTCTTTCACTGCACAATATGAGATTAAAGATTTAAACATGCAAATACAGTCAATGATGAGTACTTTGTTGGATTTGGGGAAAGGACTGGAAAGACGACCTAGAAGATAGAGAAACAATGCCTAACATTTGTAGTTTGCCTTGGGCTGGCACTGTCTATTTTTATCTCAGCAAGAACTTTTGTGGAACAAGCCTTTTGTTTTTTGCAGAATTATTCTTCACACTTTGAACCTCTAATCATAAATGGTCATGGTTTAAGTTGGTGCTCTTTTCTACACTGCAAGTTCTCTTGTCTTGCATGGATAGATCTGACACTTTGGAATATCTGTGTTGTTTTCTAAAAGTCTTTCTAGAAAAGTGTATTTAGTTCTAGAGTCACAGTGAAGAACAGGAAAGATTCCAATTTACTTAGAACCATAGTCTAGTGATTACACATGTAGCCAAAAGATTCCCTGAGGTCATCATATAAATCTCCTCATTTTAAAGGTTAGGAAATAGAAGAAGCACTGAGAAGTGAAGAAAAATTATTTGTTGCAGCTCGCTAGTGGTCAGTCCCTCTCAGCCCGTTTTCTGGATCCCCAGGCACTGTGGCCACAGTCCCTTCAACAAACTCCTATCATGACCCAAAGAATCCCTGCCTGCCTTTTCTCAAGCCTCATGGGTCCCAGAAAGGCTGAAACACCAACGTAAATCTTGTTCACCTCATGCTTAGGTATGACCAGGAAGCAGAGTGGTGCAGTACTGTTCGCCTTGGGGAAAAGTTGTCTCCCTTTGCCCCTTTATGCACTTCTGGGCTTACCTGAGCAGAAAACTTTGGCCGATTACTGGGTCTTCATCAAACTGATAATTAAAGAGGAGGCAGGAAAGGCGCATGTTCCAATATCATCCAGAAGAGTCAGCAGTTTTGCTGCATAATGAGTTCTTTATCCCTCAGGTTGTTGCCCACTTGAAGGGAACTTGTAGTGCAGCTGCATCTGGAATCAAAAAATGGACATTCTCAACCCATGGGTTTGATTACTGACTCCTTGATTATCAAATTTCATTTCAGGACAACAAGAGAGTAGGTGATGGTCTTGAATCATCCATTTCCATCTCTGCTGCTGCTCACTATAAGACTTTTGCAGGCAACTTTGGACCTCCTTTCAATTTTATCTTTTAGCATGAGCCACCCGTACTCTTAGAATTTTCCTGGACAAATGGCTGTTAAGAGAATATTAGACTGAGTTTTTAGACTTGTTACATCTGGCACTGAAAATGCATTTTAATATAGAGGCTTGAGGGCTGTTCTTGCAGCTCTCCCAAGTAGTCTCCAGAGAGAAATGTCCTTCCCCTGACTCCTGAAATATGTTATAGGAGGTGAACTTCACTGTGAATTCTGCCCCCTTCTACTGATGAACCAAGAGTTCCTGCAATCACTCAAGTGTGGCTGCTACTCCCTTTCTCTCTCCCCAGTTCAAGGAAGCGTAGGACCATGTGTCCCAAACTTGCTTGCCCTTGAACCCTTTCTTTCAGGGATTTCCTATTAATAATTCCTGAAACCACTGTCCTGTAGAACATTATTTAAGAAATGGTGACATATAAACATAAAACTGAATGAATGTGATGATGTTGCAGGGCTAAACTTGCAGCTGTTCGATTTATAAAAGCAAAGTACATACCTCCCTAAATTCTGCATTTTCACTGGTATAGCCCAACATCGGAGTTGGGGCAGACGTCAGAGTGAATGGAGGTGTAGTGAGGCTCATCCTGCTTCTGGCTGGAGAATAGACTGAAGACAATGGTGAGCCTACTGAACTGAGGGTGGCAGCCCTTCCTGCCCCAGAAGACTTGTCCAGGGAGGATGTGCCTCAGAGCAGCAGACTGCACCAGAGAGCAGCTATGCATTTTCATCGACACCTCATTTCCTGTCAGCATGGGGGGAAGAGGCAGAAGGATAGTCAGAAAGTTAGTCATACTGGGAAACTTATCTTTACGGCCACTGGTTCCTCTCGGTAAGGGGTGGCAGGCATGTGGTCCAGCTTGCAGACTAAAGCCATTTCCCAGCACTGTCACAGATCCTAGTTGTGTGCTATTTCCAGTATATCAATGTCTTTTGTCTTGCGAAACTACCATCTGAGAGGGCAGCCGCATTTGTATTCCTCCTGACATTCTTTGCTGATTATCTCAGAAGCAGCTATGGTCTCTTTTTTGCATGATCAAAGCATAAGCTGATGGCACTTTGTCTCTTTAGAAACAAGCCAGTCCTAGCTGATCCCAGCAACACACCCGTGGCGTAAGTTCAGGATGTAGGGTCCTGGCCTTGCTCCCAGTGAGGCAGCCGTTAACAAAGCAAATTTTACAGACATGCATATCTGGGGGATGTTCTGTGGGGATCAGCTGGTGGAATTATGAATTATTTAGTTCACTTCCCCACTCTCTAATAAGAAAAGACCTAAGCTGACTCAGACTTAAGAAACCGAGTTGCTATTAAAGGCCACCTTCCTCCCATTTTGGCTGCCAGAAATCTTGATGCTGCCTGATGATGAAAGGACTATGTTTGTTCACCCTCCATAGAATTGTCCTTAAGGTTCGCTGAATTAATCCAAACACACACACATGTATAGATTACTGTTACCCATTAGATACTGTGGGCTGTATGCCTGTTTGCACTGGGGAAATATGAAAATCTTGTAACAATCTGCTTTCAGGGGAATTTTATTAGACCTAAGACATATATATGCAAGGCCGCATATCATGAGAACCATGTGAGGCTGAGTCAGCATGAGCATGGGTATTGTGATGCACAGGACCTTCAACTGGGCTTTAAAATATGATTGTTATTACTATTAAAAGTTCTGGAACATTTAACCAATTCTTACTAGGTTTTAAGCAACTTTACATACTCTTCTAGGTGCTTCCTACATATGTTTAATCATCACAACAGTGATGTAAGGAAGACAGCAGGAAGCAGAAGAGAGGTCACATAGCTAGTTTCTGGTCGAGCTGTATTTACATCTCAAGTGGTTATGTTGCAAAGCCCTGCTCCTCTTAACCAGTACCCTGCCTTTGATTGAGGGATTGGGATGAAGGCCTCCCTGATGAGGGAAGCCTGGTTTCTAAGGTGTTGCAGCAGCAGTGTTTAAATGAAAAAGGCCTAGCAGTAGATGTTTGGTGTAATGATTGGCACAGTACCTGGATCAGAGTGAGGACTTGTTTGTCGCATATTTGAATTTGAGTTATTGACTGAATGGTTACAGAGAGATAATGCTGGAAAAGAAAGCTGTTTTCAGATTGTGTATGGTTTTGAATTACAGCCTGAGAAGTTTAAACTTGGTACTGTAGATAATATCTTTTCTATAATGGTTGAATTTCAACAGAGGCAAACATTGTAGTCCATAAACAATCTATCCTGCATTCTCTTTTTCAGTACTTTCTATAGGATTGCTGGAAAAAAATTGACACTAGGTTAATCAAGTCCTTTACAAAATTCTAAGTTTTGCTGAAAGTATTTGACTACAGAAGTTAGGGACCTCTTGTTCTTGAACTGTCAGTCTTGTCACATCTATAGTTTCCTAAATGCATGGCAAGGACAAGACTTTAAGCAGCCAAGTTATAATATGGTGTAACTCCATTCTCCCTCACTGTAGATGAGTGGATTTGTGGGGGCACGGGGACACACCATGGTCCTCTCTTGGGAATAGTGAAAGTAATAAGCATTTGCTTTGTGTTTTCTATTTTTCTAGGTGTAGAAACTGAAAGAACATGCTGGAGAGAAGAGCCAAAGGTGCCAGACAAAGTGCATTTTAGATTGAAAATATGAAGGAGCAGGAAAACTTTAGAGGCAAAAACTGTGATACAGACAGTATTATTATTATTTTTTAACATGTATGTTTTGAGCTTAAACCTTTGGATTTTGAATTCACTTCTGGAATTTGAAATTCTCTCCAAAATTAAAAATCTCATTACACTTTTCAGTATTCATTCCCCATTGGCTTTTCAGATACATTTTACATGGTAGCTCATTCACTTATTTGGAAACTCTCCTGGAATGTGGTATTCTTCTGGATTCCCCCCTTTTCTCCAACTACTCTTACTCTCTTCTTAAGCTTGTCTTCCTCTAACTTGAGGCATTGCTGAAATAGTTTTTAACATTTTATCACTTTGCAGATAGTACCCTCAGAGTATGCCCACATTCACAACATCCTTTCTGAGCTCCCAGAGGGCTCATGCTTCTAGTTGTTTGTCTCGTATCTTCAATTGGTGACAACTGACCATTTAGAGAAGGCTCCATTGTACTCTCATGGTCACCCGTTAGCTCAAGACTTTATCATTTACCTGACCTCTCCCTTTGCAGTGGATTTATATAGGGCTGATACACCAATTCTTAAATTTAAGTTCTGGTTTTGGTACTTCCTTGCTCCCAAATCTTCGGTGACTTTCATCTTTCAGGAAAAATCTCTATTCCTTATCTTGGTGTTTTAATCCATCTTTAAGATGATTTCATCAGTTGATTCCAGAGTATTTATATGTCTTTTAGGTTGTTGCAAGTAGATTCCTTTTCATACCTTCTCTAGCTTTCAAAATTCTGTCCATTTCCTCCACATTTCAGAGTGCTGCCTTTTTAATAATGTATCAGTGATTTTAAATGGAATTGATACCTCTTTTCTCTAAGTTTTCATGATATGTTGACTGTAATTCTGTTAAGGCAATTGTTGTAAGGTTGTTCAGCATTTGTCTTACTTTCCCTGTGGAACTGTCAGTTTGTAGTTCACTATAATTCGGGTATCAGGTGTGTCCACTCTGCTTGCTCAGAGCCATGCCTTTCCCTGCTCTGCTCTGTGTCACAGCTACTGGCCTGTGGCTGTGCTGTCCACACCCCCGTGTCAACTGGATTCATACTAGGTGCCATCAATGTGAGGCTCTAGCATGAGAACTCTGGGTCTTTTTCCCATGACCTGTGCCTTGGGAGGTGTCTCTAGGAAAGTTATGTCTTCTAGGGTTCCAACTCCCACGCAGGTCTAGTCTCTGCAGGTGATCTCCATCCTTGAGTTCTTGGAACAGAATCTTATTTTTCCTTCCTATGATGAGAATGGTGTCTGCCATTGTTTAGTCTGAAGTGTGTCACTGTCCTGTTATGGGCTTCTTGTTCTTCCATCACTGTATAATAAATTCCCACATACTGTATTAAATTCCTTTTGAAAGGCAAATGGATTCTGCTTTTCCAGTGTGGGTGATGATCGATGTACTCCTCACCTAATATTAACAGGAGACCATATCCTTCCCTTGCTTACTTTATGGAGCCTCATTCAATGACTTGTGTACTGCAAGTACCAAATAAATATTTATTGAATAAATACATAAATGTGGAGTGATCTTGTATGTTTAAGGTTAACCTAGTTTAGTTTTAGAGAAGTTGCTCAGAAAACTTTAGGAGGCACTAATTATATTAGTGGCTAAAGAGAAATACCAAAAACTCAAAAACAAAAACAGAAATTGAGGCCAATATCCCTGTCATCAAAAATTTTAAAAGGCTATTTGGAGACTTACAAGTAGGAACAAATTTTGTAATAGAAAACTTAGAGGACTGAAAAACATCTACTTAACATATTTCTTTTTCATGTTTTTCTTCCCTTGATCTTTGAGGAATGCTTATAAGTTTATGGGGCTTGGGCTGTTTCTAAAATAAGCTATTGCATCTTTTTTTCCAACCCATACATCAATATTCTCCAGCGTGGCTCTAGGAGGCATTAAGCAGAAGATGTCCATATGGTTAGTGTGCTAAGTGTTTCATTGATTTTATTTTATTTTTTTATTTTTATTTTTTTTTTTTTGGTTTTTTCTCCGGTACCGGGAACCGAACTCACGACCTTGAGCTTGCCAGGCAGGCGCTTTTGCCGCTGAGCTAAATCCCCAGCCCCTCACTGATTTTAAATACTTTCTTTCTTGAGGCTCTCGGGCCCTTAAGAACTCATGTGCCCTCTGAGTCATTTGTCGCTGTTCCTGTTTATTCAGATTCTTATTCTCGAGGGCTGCAACAGTGTGGGCAGTATGAGGGACTATGTGGGGTGTGACTGAAGTAACCATCCAACCCTTTTAGAACCATCTTTGTGGTGGAATGAAGTGGATTTGTGGCTTAGGTTCTTACTGAAATTCCTACTCTGCCTTTGCATTGAATCTTCTGGAATCTTTTCTCCCAGCCTTCATTTCCTATTTATAAGAAATTTGCCTATTTATAAGAAAATAGCACAAGTGATCAAAAGTGTTGTGTGGGAAATAATTTGATAAAATATAGGCTGGACTGGAAGAGGGAAAGGATTCAATCAATGGCATAGGAGGAAGCTTCCAAATCAAATCCATAAGACATGGAGGAGAATGTAGATTTATTTAAACGACAATTTTTTGGGGGGGGATTTGTTTACTGTGTTACTGCCAAGAAAATCCTCCTTGACCCAAACTTTGGCCAGGTTCCTCTAAGTCCTCTTCTTGACCGTGCCTGACTTTGAGTTTCTTCCTCTGTGTTTGTAAAATCTACTTTGTGAGCAATAATCCTTTTAAATTTAGGGAAAATCCTCCAACCTTTGTATCTGACTACCTGTATAATATTTTATCACCCTGAAGCAATAATTCTATCAAATTGGTTTAGCCAGAAACCTCATGATCTTTGGTGTTTCCACTTAGTAGTTTTTCTTTCACTGCCCCCTTTTCTGCTCTTCAGCTATACATCCCCACTTGTCTTTGGTTAAGTTGGAGCTTATTCCAATCTGTTTTTCCCACTGTAAGACTCCATTGCAGTAGAGCCTATACTTAGGACTATGGGTCCAACAGACTAAGGCCTTCCTTACCATTTTTGTTGTTGTTTTGCAATAGGGTCTC